ATTACCTCCACAATCTTGGTTCATTAACATCTCTAAATCCATTTCCTCAACTGTAGCATTGAGATAGGAGAAGTACTTGACCTGGAACACCGGCTTTGAACCTAAGTCCACTCAGCAGTCAAGTCCTGGCTCCATTGATTTCTAGTTTTATGACCACAGACAAGTTGCTGGATCTTTCTCAATTTCCTAGTATGTGGAGAGAGAGAGAGGAAGAGAAAGAGAGAGAAAGGTAGGTGGGGGAGGGGAAAGAAAGAGAGGGAGAGAGAGAGGATGGGGGAGGAGAAAGAGAGAGGAGAGAGGGTGGGAGGAAGAGAGAGAGAGAGAGAGAGAGAGAGAGAGAGAGAGAGAGAGAGATCCTCCAGGAGAAGAAGGATGCTAGTGAAGTTAAGGAATATGGAGACGATGAAGAATAGTGATCATTAATGTCCAGAAATTAGAGAAAAAAAATAACCCAAACCAAAACTGTTGTTTGCGTTCGCCCAACTAACGTGAGGATGACGTGGGAGAATTACTCTTCGCAGTTCCTCTTTCTCTGCCCGACACCCTCCTGACTTAATGCTATTTTAGCTTTTCCTCTTGTAAATTTCAGAGCCAGCTCTGAGGTTATTGAGGACACTTATCCGAAGGAGAGAAATAATAGAGGTGTCGAGAGTGTTTTTGATGTTTCTTAAAAGGCAAAAACAAAACGCCCTCCTTTAAATAAGGGCACACAATTATACCTGCTTTTAATTTTTATTCGGGAGGGGGAAGCCCCCCCCCCGGCTGAATGAGACAACTTTTTGGTACGATTTAGATATTTTCTTCCAAAAAAATTTTTAAATATTTGATCCTATCATATTTAATCAGCTGTAATTATAACACATTCAAAGTGAATAATATGCCTTGACAGTATTTTTATTGTTATTGTTCATTGCATGATGTTCGACTGCTTTAGAAGCACAGGAAAGAGAAGTAAACGCGCTACAAATGGGGAATTACCCTCGTTTAGCATTAAAATTCATTTAGATAAAATTGCCACAAACATTTAAATGGGAAGATTAGTTCCCCCTCACGCCTTATTGCACTCGCTCAATGGTTCCGTTAAGAACATTTTACACGTTGGAAATTCCGTCTTCTCAGACGGCTTGCTGTTTCCTAGTTACCCACATTCAAAGCAAAGGCTGCAGCAAAGGCAGCCGCAAAAGCAGCAGCAGCAGGAAAAAAAAAAAAAAGTTTTGGCAACTGGTCTGCAATTCATCCGCTGCTCGCCCCAGTCTCCCCTCCGCCCAAAGCAGTCTGCCCCCCACCCATCACCCTTTGCCTACCGCTACCCCTTTTCCTCCATTATGTAATTTGCAGAGCCCTGTCCTCAAAGAAACAAGTTTCTTAGTTGAGTAACATATAGATAATGTTCAAAATACAAAGAAATATCAAAAAGCCAGTCGGTTCCTCTCCGAGTCTCCCCCTTCTCCTTCCGTTCAGCATTGAGGTTTAGTTTGAACGTGCTGAGTTTCTCACATCCCCTACCCCTGAGACCACAAGGCACGTTTTTTTGGGGGGGTTTCTTTTCTGCCAGGACTTTTCCAGGAAATTCACCACCGCTTCTTGCTTGTACTGTATTAGAAACGTGTTGAAGTATTAGTTTGAAAAGTCCACCCAACGTTTTTGTTTCTCTCCCCCCCTTTCTTGCTCCTCCCCCCTCTCCCGCCATCTCCCATCCCCCCTCTCTCCCCCCCTCCCTTCGCAGAGCCACAGGAAAAGAGGAAAGTCGGCTTCGACTGCCACCTTTTGGGGATTTGGAAAAACGCCTCGGTAGGAAACGGTGGGAGGCGGAGGCGCGGGGGGTGGGGGGGATACCCCCTTATTATCCTGTGTCGGAACTGGCTCCCTTAATCTGATGCTTAAATATTTGATGTGGAAAAATTACCCATAAAATTAGTTACTAACAATTTCAAATTGAAATCACTTATCGAATTATAAACGCATTAAAGCTGTATGGATGGTATTAGGAGTTCCTCGGGAGGCAGCGGGTGTCTCCTTGCAGTGAGCCGGGCTGGCGAGTTTCGCCCCAGGGAGAGGCGCCCAGCGCGGTGCTCCGGGGGAAGGTGGGAGGGTGGCTCAGCGTGGTCCCAGCCTCCGGGACCCAGCGCGCCGCCAGGCCGGGCAGAGACTCCGGCTGGATCGGCTCCCCGGAGCTGCGAGGAGGGAGGGGAAGGAGCAATGGTGGGAGGCTCCGACCTTGGGGCAGAGGCGTCTATCAGGAAACTTCGTAACTAATCAGGAGACTCTGTAAAGAAAAGGCACAAGCCCTACCCATCACCTCCCTCGCGCGCGTCTCCCAAGCGGCGCGCCGACCACGCGATCCTAGTTCCTTGCCGCACGTAGCGCCCCCACCCACCCAGGCTATGGGCAGAAGATTTGCTGGTATCCTGGCATGGGATGAGCCCCGCGCCCCTAGAGAAAATCCCGGGGACTGCTACGCGGCCAGGACGCAGCCACCCCTGGCTCCCACGGTGCGCGGCGCCTGGGCCCAGTGTAAGGGAGGGCAGGACCCTGCCCGCACCCCGGAGCACTTGGGGGCTGTTCGATGTCTGTGGTGTACCCTCCTACGTGCTGCTCATCCCCACCTTTAAGTCAAGTCTAAGGGATTATTGACTTTGTTTCTGGAGACCCGGCGACCAGGACTGTGCTCTGAAGGGCGTGGAGAGATGCTTCCTGCGCTGGTCTGTGTCCTGCCCTCGAAACTACTCCGAATGCTTTGTAGTGGGCTCCGGGCTTCTTAATGAACTCTGTCACATCAGAGCTCCGCTCCAGAGCCCCACCACGGTTCTGGGAGCGTGACCCTGAGAGTTTGGGGACTAGAGGGCACCTGGGACTCTGGCAGATTGCCTTGGAGGGCCTCTAGTGCCGGGGATAGGAGCCGTCGCGGGAGACTGTGGGCGGCACCCCGACGACTTAAGCAGGAACTTCTGGAGATCATTTTAAAAGCTCTGCAAACTTTCCCCTGCCTTTGGGATCCCGGCAGGCCTTCGGCCCCGTGTGCAGGCGGTAAAATCATGACTTGATGATGCAAAGCTTCGGGGTAGGCGTTGGAATACCTAGTGGAGCGGCGTGGAATTGGGTAGTGGGGTGCCCTGCCTGGCTGGGCATTTTTCCTGTACTCTCCCCTCTCCCACGCTCCCACTGGCTGTTTAGCGACCCGTAGCACTTGGGGTGGTCGCGGTGCAGAGTCTGCACAGAGCTAGGAATCTCAGGCACCGACAGAGAGCCCTGAACGAGAGTGGGAGGGGAGGGGAGAGGGCCTGATGAGGGTGACTGATGGCACGGAGGGGGAGGGTTCCCTTTTCCGCCCGATCTGCCCGCCAACGCGTCTGAAACATTCTCTCCCAAGGCGGATCTGAAAGGAAAAACAAACAACATATTGAGCAATCAGTTCGCCAACGTTTGCGCTTTAAGGAGTCTTTGCCCTAAAAATGGTACCCTGGAGGTCTCGGTGGGGAGATAGGGGGCACTTTTAGGGCCTGGGTTCTGACTAGTCGCGCCCCGGGGTCGCCCTTACGCACGCTGCCTTCTGTCCTCCCCGCGCGCTTAGCCCACATCGGGAAACCTGGGCAGTGAAGCCCTGGAGAAAACGGATTTAGTTTTAAGCCAGTCTTCCATCGATCAGGTTGGTAATTCCTACCCATGCCCACTCTCAGACACACTCACCTCTACCCTAAAGCATTAAGTTCATTACGCGAGCAATGATCTTAATCTCCAGGCGGAAAACGAGTCCCGGGACCTCGCCGAATGGGGGAGCCTTGAATAAAGTCACCTGCTTCATACACTAGCCCGGCTGGATTCTCCCTGCGGGGGCCTCGTGTGGCTGGGCGAGTTGCGTGGGTCCCTAGCTTCACGTCTAGTCGTGCCCGCCAGGGGTCAGGAACCCTGTGTCTGCTTTCTTTGAGTTGGAGACCTCCTCGAGGGGTGGGATTGCGCGCTCTCGATTTCCTCCTCCCCTCCCTTGTGCCTTTATTCCTAGGCCTCTCTAGTACTTCAGCACTTTCTTGCTTTCTCCTCCCCCGAAGTGGCAAGATCCTCTTCTCCACCCAGGAGTCCGGAGCCTCTACAGCCTCCTAGACCTCGCTGGCGTGGATCCCGCACTGCAGCCGGGGCAATAACCCTTCCGCCTACCTCACCCACCTTTGTGGACAAGGGGTGGGTGAGATTGCTCAGCGAGGCCCCCTTGAAGAGCCTTTCTGAGGGTACTCTGGGATTTTAAAGAATCAGACTCCTCGATTTAGAGGAGATCCTGCGCCCACTGATAACTCCGTCTCAAACCCAATAGCGTCAAAAACCCCTAGCAGCCTCCTACTTCATCCCCTACCACCATCCTCGCACCCCCACCGGCAGCAAGCTGCATCTGACACCGCTGGGAGATGGAGGTTAACCAAGCACACCGGTCCCTTTACTGGGCCGACCTTCGAGGTGCCAGCTTCTTCTGGAGACTCAGTTTCCACTGGACAAAAGCTAGGAAAACACAAGGCAGTGGCTGTGAAAATCCACGTTCCCCCACCCCTCCACCCCATCCAAATCTGATTTCAAGAAGTGCATTTTCAGGTAGTCCTAAATCGTGAACAGCGAGCTTTGTGTGTTATCTAGTGGGGGTGGGGATGGAAGGGGAGGAGACTCCCACTGCCCGCTCCAGTCTTTAATGTCTGAAATAACGAAATGCCTGTGTGGCAGCTGCTGCTAGAGCCAAAACTAACTCTTTGGAAGACGGAAAAGAGTGAAAGGCAAAGAAAGACTGTTCATTTTTTTTCCTTTGGTGCCGTTTGGGATGTCATCTGTTTCCTTGGCGACTGTGTTCAGCCCCCGGAGCCCCTGGGCTCCTGGATTGTTAGGGGGGAAAAAGCATGCTATTTCTGCACCGTCATTTATCACTGTCACCGCATAATGATTCCCCTTGCAGCCCCTTATTGATGTTTGTAATTGCATTATCTCATAAAGGGGGATGATCAATGAAACCGAGCCGTGCATTCTGGGGTCAGAGGAAGCCAAAGTACTGTTTGTCCCCTTTAATACAACAAGTACTCATTATCTTTAGGTCTGCATTCAAAAAATGATCTGATCTGGGGCTGACCCTGTCGGACATCCCAACACTTTCTAAAACGCGGTTTGTGTAACCTTTTGCTTAAATGCTAAATCAAGTACCTGTCTTGCATTTCAACGAAACAAAATACGAAAACTGAATGCGAAAAGCATTTCTTCTTTTCATTTTTTTCCCTTTTATTTTCGGGAGGGGGAGATGCGGTCCTCTGAAGACACAGGAGGTTTTACACTGTACTTAGTGATGTAATATGGAAAAAGAAAACCCCATCAACAAGGGACCTAATGAATGAAAAAAAATGGGATGAGGGGGGAAAAGGTATCTGGGAGCTTTTAACACGGCCAGTGCTAAAAAGAGCAGAATAAAACTACATCCGGTTTAATTAATAAGAGCTATAAACTATAAAAATTCCCTATGATTCTGCCCTTGCTTCTCCCTTTTACAGAGTCATATCTCTCTGGTTTAGATAAATGACTTTTGAGCCTGTTCGATTCTCACAACAACAATAACTAAATCAGTTGCACAGTGTGTTTCTAAAACCATCCACAAACTCCAGCAAATAAAAAGAAGTTCATTTGTCTATTAAGGCAAGTATTTAGTTGAGCAGAAATGTCCCAGTAACACTGAATAGAGTTCATGTAATCCCATGAAAATCAAGTCATCTTGTTGCACTGAAGTAAATGAAAAAATACAATGGAGAAAAGGTCCGAGTGTAATTTTAAACTAAATGCATTATTGAACTGTCACAGAGAAAACGTGATTGTTTGGCCGGGATAGGGAGAGTGTTCATCAACTTGGCTCACATTTAACTGAAAGGTTTTAGGAAAGGAACATGTATTCCAGATTTGGTTATCATTTTAGTTTGTGGCAAGAGGAGGAATTGAGACAATTCTAATTCATCATTTCAGTACATTAGGGTAAATAACTGCTTCAAAGACAGAATTAAGCAAAGAGCGTATTTCAAACATTGCAAGTCTGTGTTACCAAAAAGAGAAGTTTTCAATCTGCTAAAGTTGAGTTCCCCTATGTTAATAAGACCACACACACACACACACACACACACACACAGAGAGAGAGTGAGTGAGAGAGAGAGAGAGAGAGAGAGAGAGAGAGAGAGAAGGAAAGGAAGGAAGGAGGGAAGGAAGGAAAAAAAGAAGAGGGCAGAAAGAAAAGACCAAGTCTAGGTGTATTGCTTTAAAAGTTCTAGAAATTTCTGAATTAACAAATCTAGGTTTTAATAAAAGGATGAAAAAGAAAAATCTTCACCATAGTTGAGAAAATGAGTACTTAGTTTGCTCCAATAATCTGATACCTGATATAAAACCTTAAGTCGAATGATAATAAAAGACCAAAATAGTCCCAGTTGGAAAAATAACTTCAAAGATAAAGCTAAAAAAGTTTTAACTGTGTTGAACCATCACTTAATTTTTCACTAAAAGGCAGATTCTTCCAAAAAGTATCATTTTCCAGAAATTCTGTCAAGGCACATTGGAATAATATATGTTCTGTATTATTTAAATATCCTGGCACATTTGACTTTGAAAATGCTCAAACTGAAATGGATATGCAGCCACACATACATTTAACATAAATGGTATCTTGTTGTTAACATAAAATATTAAAGGGAAAATAAAACTTAGTGCTTTGTCAGTTGAGAGAATTTTTTAGCATAATACTTTGATTTTCAAAACAAATAAAACCCCTTGATTTTTTAACCAATCAACATAAGACTTTCTCTTATATGGTTGGGGATCTGGCGACATCATGTACGCTTTCTATTTTTAATATTTAGTGTTATAGCCCACGGTTAAAATAATGAAAAATTAGTCTCGTTTCAGAAATTATTTATTTATGGAACGAACATGATTAAAACATAAACACACACACACAAACTGCAGCTGCAATAGAAAAAAAACTTGATTTACGGTTATTAAATCTTTGATCGCCATGTTAATGTTTCTTTTTCTACCTTTCATTTGCATTTTAATCTATCGAATCTTTACAATTTTGCTGCCTCCTATTTCAATGATTGATTACAGATCTGAAATAAGAAAACCAAGCCTAGCTTTTCTTTTCCTTTCTTCGCTTTCTTTTTTTGCTCCCCCCCCTTCCCCCTGGGTAGATTTCTGAAACTTTCTCTCAATGCTAATGTAGACAGGATAAATTAATTCTGCTCTTTTAAATGTCAAAGATATAAATAAAAAATGTTTTCTGTCCCAAACGTGAATATTTTCCCAGCCGCTTGTTTTTGAGTCATAAAAGATCATCCCAGCAAAACGCAATTAAGAGGGAAACTCACGCGCCGGCGCGCGCGTACATATACTCGC